TGAATCCGAGTTTTTGCCATGGAAATTGTTTATGAACATTGCTGGCCAAGGAGAGTGTGTGTGTGTGTGTCTGAATTTAACTGATTTTTAATGTGCGCGGCGAGACTTGTGGGCGGTTGCGAGATAGCCGAGGCAGGAGCTTGGGGGTCGACACATAACGCCATTTGGTATTAGCCAATTTGCGGCAGTTTATTGGTGGAAAACGATTTGGCATGATTGGCTGCCGGCTACTGTTTAATAAACTCATTGATTTATGGCTAATTAAATTTGCTGGCTCTATTAATTTATGCCATTTACCGCGGCACATGCGCAATCAAATGCGTTACCCGATGGGTCAATGCTACATTTAACCAGTCTAATTAGCTTCAACTAACCGAATGTATCCATGTATCGATGTATCGATGATTAATGATCAGCAAAATTGGGTTGACTGGTAAATGGAATTTTTCTTTATTTTTGCCGTTGCGATGACCGTGAAAATTGAGAGCCCGCAACGCCCCAAACTGTCAGTTATACATCACGATTGATGGATGTGCCCATTCGATGGAAGCCACCATCCACTCATCGTCATTGTTGGTAACCATTATCTCTGGCTCTAGCCCCAGGTTCTTGGCCATATACATATATATATGCTCGTAAATCGTGCAAAATGATCCTCACTTTCCACCATGGACGCTGATCTCCCAGTGTTACCGCACCAAATTTCGGGCTGCCCTCGCTTATCCGAAATTGTAATCATCTTAATAATAGGCTTATGCATGCCTTAATGCTGATTATGGGTTTTGTTTTAAGCCACGGATGGGGGGAATGGAGATTGAATGTTGGCCCAGCTAGCACCCGAGCACATACGCACCATAATTAGGCAGTGCAACTTGGAATTGGAATTGGCTAACGGGCAAAAGTCGCGACTTACTAACTTTCGCTACAGTCAGTAAAAAGTTGTAAAAGTTCATAAAATATCTTAAGGCAATGCAGTCGATAATGTCAACCATCTATACTTATTTTCAACAGTTTAAATATTTCTCTGTTTATTCAAAATACAATTGAGGAAACAACACTAAGCACTAGAAAGATAGATTCAGAGCTATATGTTCTCCTAAAAGCCTAAAAACAAATAATATAATTATGTTCCAAATGTTCTTTAGGTTTTTTTAAATGCATATAGTTCTTCCAATAATATAATAAAGGTATAACTTTTAAAGAGTCTCATTATGCAAAATCTCAATTATTTTATAACATTATAATAATACTTGTTCATGTTTAAGCTTGCAAGCTCATGTAAGCCAAATAAGAGGCTTAAATTTCTTTAAAATTCAAGATTAAACTCTCAAAATACCTTTCATTACCATTCGGCAACAAATGCTTATTGCATTTGACTTTGGTATTAAAATCTTATTTATTTTAAATACATTGCAATAAAATATTTTTATACCTTTTTTAAATGCAAAATACATATGAACTTTTCTATTATTCTTAGATACTTCGAGAACTTAAATGCATCATATAGTCAAATTTCAGTTCCCTTCTATATATTTTCATATAATATTCACAGCCTTAGATAAATTTCCACGATATTTCCAAAAAAGTAATTAATTTTTGTAAAACTATCCATGTTGCAATACCTTATCTCAGCTTCGTTTTATTATTTCTTTTTCCATCGTATTTTTTATATCATAAACTTTATGTGGCTATCAAAATTAATTTCCAATATGATTGATATGTTTTGCAGACACACGAAACCGCTTTCAAAGTAAAATGACTTTGTCCAGCGGACATCAATAAATCATTGAGACAAAAACGTGAACACGCGGCACACATTAGTCAAAGAGGGCAAAGGCAGCCGAATCCGATTCCGAGCTGTTGGCCAAAACGCATAAACATTTTACAGCACAAACAATTAACTAAAAATAACATAAAAGAGTAGGCAGCGATCCCCGAGACATGGGGCCAACTTGAAAGTCTCGAAACGAAGGAAGGAAGGAAAAAATAATGATTAATGAACCCCACAATGGCAGTTCGGGAAAGTTACATAAATTAACACATGTCTTTACCATAATGAGTCAACAGCCAGTCATTTGGCTAAGTAAGAGTCTGGCCAAGTCGGAGACGGCCAACCCCCCAGGCCTTAATACAATAAATGCGTCTGCTGATTGTTACTTTTTAGCTTATTTCTATGTGCCTGGCATCGTCAGACACAGACGGCGGATATTAATTCTAAATCAATTAAGAGGGGAAACAAGTCCAGTGGAGGGAGCAGCATTAAAATTCAATTAGGAAAAAATATCAGATTATCGAAATGTGTTGGAAATTTGAGCATTGAATATGTTAGAGATAATATGTGATTTATTGTTATTTGAGAGACATAAATGTTTATGTTTTTTAATAATTTGATTTGAGCACATACACAATATATCATAATTAATCTTTTTCTGTATTACTTATGTAATATTTTGACAATAGAACAAGTATGTAATAGATAGAAAAGGTACATAATATTATAAATAAAATCAAATTAACAAAGTTAACTTTGTATTGTAATCTTCGGTATACTAAAGTAAATATTTATACTTTTTGGCTGTAAGATCATTATGGTTTTTATGGATATCCTGACATTTAGCATAGTAATCTGATAAAATCTGTAACAAACCTGCACAGATTTAACTTCCTTTCTATATTTCTATATTTTTAGTTCCCAGAACTTTACCAAAACATTAAACAACTTACACCAATTTCCTTTAAACCCTGCACAAATTTAAAGTAAATTCAAAATAAAAAGTGTACAAATGATTGAGTTATTCGATGAAAGTAAATGTGTCAGGATTCAATACATATAATTATATTTTCAGTGCTTTTTTCGCAAAGGATCTGCGTTCAGCTAAATGAACAGCCAGCCGTTGAACAATTGAGGGCATCTTTCTGGTCATGACAGGTTCCGGGACACTGCCGGACCGGGGCACACACACTCACGCCCATGACTGTTGGGTTTTTTCTTCTGTTGTTGATGTTAAATGAAGGGACGAAGACAAAGGAGCAGCCACATCCACATCGGGTCCAAGTTCATTCAAATGGTTCGGTCGAGGGCAGCAATAAAACAAAAAAAAGTGTAGCGTATGTGGCCGCAGGACATGCACAGGACGAGGAGGACGCGGAGGACACTGGGGAAGCTCAGTCAGACACTAATTCGATCTGATAATCATGGAGTCCCGCCAAAGGGCATGAATTGTAATTTCCTCTTTCGCGGAATTAACTGTCGGTCCCTGTCGCTTGGTCGGCTGGCTTTGTTGTTACCATGTTTTTGCAATTTTTTTTTGTATTTTGTTTTCGCTTTTGAGATTTTGTTGAATTCTTTTTATTTGTTGTTGTAGTTGATGTTATTTTTTTGGCATATACTCCCAGGGAAACCATTGTTGTTAGCTGGTATTTATGTGTCATATTTATTTGTATAAAACATTGCGCTTTTGTTTTTACTGTCGCCGGGCTTGTGTCTCTTTGCATTTCATGCATGTGCACCCGGGGTGCATGAGGGCTCCTTTTTTGTATCCTGGCTCGTCCTTTGATGTTTATGTTTCGAGAACGGTAATCTACTAATTTGAAAATAATGATTGCTTTGTGGACAGAATATATAGATTCTTAAAGCTTTCTTTAGCTAAAATATCTGTATATTTCTTTGACTTGAAATTGTATTCCTGAATATGTTATTGACTTTTTAAAGTACACTTTTAAAATTGATTTAGATTCAACTTGATATGACTTTCTTTAAACCTGAAAAAAACATAATAATAAGATAAATATATGATGCTTTGCACCAAATTATAAAGAAATGGTTCTTCAATTCAAATTAAATTATTTTTGGTAATAATTAAAGATATTTTAGATATTTTAAGGCACAATTTCTGTTGCAAAAATGCTTTTTTAAAAAGCACTTAATCTGCATAGAAGCAACGTCAGACTTTTACAATTTGAAAGCATCCTTTCAGTGAAAGCACACAAAAATCCAGAATGATGGCCAAATAGCAGAACAGAACTTTGGCCCAATACAAGAGATATATATATACTTTATATATACAAACATACATCCTTGTTTATGTATTCAAATACTCACTCGTTTATATATGTATATGGAGACGGGACTGACTGAACAACAATTTTGCAAACGGAGGGTAAAAATAAAATCAGCATTTTTAGTAGTTAATTTAATTTATTGCAGCGTTTTTATGGTTGACTTTATTGCATAATAAAACATAATTTACTGCGCCATTGAGACTTTTTGCGTTTGCGTCGATGATTCTAAAGCGCAGCCATCGACCATGGCCCACAGAGGAGGAGTGAGTGGTGGAAAGGCAATCCCACAGATACGACTAAATGTGGATAGGAGAGGAGAATGTGGGATGCTGGGAAATTGGGCGAGACAAAGAGGATGCCGATGGTGATGCTTATGCCAACAGGGGGGTGAAAAGGCCCAATAGATCCACAAGAGGTGGAAAGCGGCAGACAGATTGCGATTTTATATTTTTATTTGCTTAGTTTAGTTTCCAGGAAAAGACAGGGGGGAAGCCCCGGACATAATGGATTGTCTTCTGATTAAGTTTACGTGTGCTCCCCTTACCCGAAATGATATGCTCTGGCAACATTCCATCTCATTCATTAAATATAGATACTTATATTACATAATATATAATATAAAATACATATACCTATATGATTTTCTTCTTTTACACCACTAAATCTCAACATCCTCCATGTTCCCCATAACCAACATATTCACAACTTGTGGTCCTGTCGTTGGATTTAATCACCAATTAACAGGGTAGCCTAATGGGTGAAAAAGCCCCTGGTCCTACCGCAATTCAAACAACAAAACTGCACCCGCTGGGCAGGACACAAACATTCCATCAGCCAGTCATTGACATATATCACCAAGTCAGGATTGAGTCCTGTATAAAAGCGAGCACGGATTCAACGTGCGGAAACAGTTGAACTTGGGCTGGGTTTGGGTCAGAATGCATGTCCAGGAGCTCCTCTTCGTCGTAGCAGTGCTAATGCCCCAGTGCCTGAGGGCCTTACGCTATAGCCAAGGAACCGGAGACGAGAACTGCGAGACCCTAAAGTCAGAAATCCATCTGATTAAAGAGGAGTTCGATGAGCTGGGAAGGATGCAGAGGACCTGCAATGCCGATGTCATAGTGAACAAGTGCGAGGGATTGTGCAACAGTCAGGTGCAACCTTCGGTGATAACTCCAACGGGTTTTCTAAAGGTGAGTCGTAACTGAGGGATCAATAAGATTAGTATAAAACCCTTTCTTCAGGAATGCTACTGCTGCCGTGAAAGCTTCCTCAAGGAGAAAGTCATCACTCTGACCCATTGCTATGATCCGGATGGCACTCGGCTCACCTCACCGGAAATGGGCAGCATGGACATACGTCTCCGAGAGCCAACTGAATGCAAGTGCTTCAAGTGCGGTGACTTTACACGTTAATTTATGAATGTAATTAATTGAAAAAGTTGCACAGTAAATTCAATTTAAACGTATTTGAGCAATTCCTTAAAGTTAGTTACTTATTTCAAGACCAAACTCAAAGTACAGCAAAGTAAGCAGCCTGCAAGTAGTTGTGTGTAGTGTAGTTTTTTTCGCTTGATAAAACTGTGTGTAGTTTTGATATTCCATAACGCCCAGAGGTAAACATCTGTTTGATTGAAACTCCAGTTAAAACAAATACCTGCGGGGTAGTTCAGTTACTACATGTATGCATGAAGTTTGATTTACCAAAAACATGCAACAATCCAATCCCGAAACCACAAATGTTTGACATATCACTGGAGGCCAACAATTGATTGCGCCCAAATATGGAATATATCAGATGTTTTTGGATTTCCGAAATAACAGCGAGCATGTTGGCTTTTCGGCTTAGCCTGGCTTAGTGGCCGGGCCAAAATTAACTCATTTTATTGGCAATATTTGCAATTGCGACTTTGGCACCGGAGCCGGGCTGAGTTAACCACCCGGAAACTCGTCCCGCAAACATAATAATCAAGCGTAAACTGCACTTAAGATGAAAACCGCTTTCTGGTTGTTAATTTTTATCATTATTTCTTGCATCTTGCATCTCCCTTTCTATAGTCAGACATGCGACGAGCTGAATTTATTAAAACCCCTTCATCAGCGGGGTCCGAGTGGCCCAACATTGGCTAATTGTAAATTGGAGCGGCTCGGCTCGCTCGGTTCGGGGCTAAATTATAATTCCATGTTCACAAGCACATTTGCACGCACTGTAATTTACTTAAGCATTTTCCACCGCTCTCTCTCCATATACTTACCCAGCTGGATGGGATCTGGATGGGATCCTGTTCCCGCCTCCCGTTCTCGTGTGCGAAACTCATAATTTAGTTGACACGCCCATTAACATCAGGCCGGGCGATCTCTCAACGCTCTCCGTTCGGTTCCATCTCATCCATCCATCCCTGGGTTCGAGGTTCGCGGATCCAAGGGGTTCCCTGGGTGGCATCGCGCGTCAGTGGCTCCATCAACAGCAACGTGCCGACACAATATAAATTATATATTTATATGCCACATTTTGACGCATGTATGTATGTACATCCCGGATGGAGATGGAGTCACGTAGTAAAAGGCAGTAACTGATCACTGATCACTGCAAAACTTTTAACATTTCATTAGGGTAATCAAATTATATAGTCTATAAACGAACGGGTTTTCCACAAGCAATTACAGTGCAATTTTGCCTCTTGAATGACTTATTTAGCTCACCTGGAATCCTTCAACCGATCACCTCATATGTGTGCTATATAGAGTGATTTTCTGTAAGATAGAAAAAAATAAATAACAAATCTTATATCCTGAAACCTTTAGCTTTACTATTCTATAAACAATAATATTGTTTAACGAAATACTATCCCTATATGTAGTTTAAAATTAAAAGGTTTATAAGACCAATTTCTAACCCTCTCTTTCATTCTTATTTTTTCTACCATTTCTATAGCTTTGTTTATATGCCAAATTTTAATCCTAATGGATTTCTTAATAATGCGTGGGTACTAATAAAATGTAAATTAACTGAATTTAGAATATATTTTTCAATTCCAATGCTAAATACACCAATAAATTTCACCCGATCTTTTGGCACAAGTCAAATGCATGCCTCGCGATAAATAAATTGCTGCATATTAATGGGATATAAATTAAACACAAGCCACAAAAGGCAGGCATCGTTAAGTTTCAATATTCTTCCGAGTCACTTTGATGATAATTAATGATTGTTAATTAATAACAAATTTGAGAGAAACCAAAAAGAAAAAAAGAGAAAAGGGGGACAAGAAATGACAAACATTTACTTGAATGCTACTTTATTGTTATTGTGGCTGCTGGTTATCGCTTATACAATATCTAACATACTTTTTGTGTTAAAACGCGTTAATATTGGCAATTAATTTTCATCATTTCGGATTCTTCATTTCTTCTTCGTTTTTTCGTTGCTCATTTGCATGAATCCGCAATTAGTTTGATATGTTTGTCATTTGGTGAAATATTTTTTTGTTAGCCTTAAATGAAAGCTCAAGGCGAAATGTAAACAACAAAGTTGGTTTTGTTTTTTTGTCGAACGGAAAAATGCTTTTAGTGTCAAGACTCTGTCGTATTACCGCTCAGTCCTCAACACAATCAGCCCACATTAATGACCAAAGACAAGAAGGCGTGACATCATTGATTGGCTTTATCTTTAGAGTTATTTCTGTTTATTTCTTCTTTGATTTCCTACATTTTGGGTTTGGCAATACATTCGGCTTGTCTTCCGATTAAAATTTATATTGTGTTTAGTCTAACTATAGCTTAGTCTGATGCCATTAGATGTCTCCAGACAATAGCACACAAGATTATGATATGGATTTAGCTCAACCAATAAATCACTTAGTAAAATGTAAAAGATGGAAGTATTTATTAGATAGATTGTTTCCCAAGTAAAACAGGTAATTCCTTCTCATTTGAAGAGCATCTAGGAAGCAACATTGCTGCACTTTCCTTGCTAAGCTCCACATGCATCATATTTTTCAGTTAGAAGAGGTAAAGGTCGCTGCAGGGCGGAATGATATGCAATGGGGTGGACGAGGTGCAAGGGTCACCTGTCAGAGAGTAAAAGCGCAACGAAGCGTAAAGCGTTTTTGCATTTTGCATTAAATTTATGATTTTTACAGCTGACATTTGTTTTCGGGCGCCTTTCCTTCTTGCAGCGATGAGTGCACTCGTGAGTGTGGATCTGTGTGTGTGTCTCAGGCAGCATGCAGCAGCCTCATGTGCTAAGGGCAGCTCACCAACACACACACACACCTGCACACACACTCGCACACACACAAATGTGGCAGGGCAACAACACCCAATGCGACAGCAACATATTTTTTCCGAGCAGCAACTGCATCTGAATCAGAAGCGACAATGGAACTCAACGAATATGTAAATGCCCTGAAATATATAAATTCATATAAGATAACCCCTTAATACGCAACTTGTTAAAGTTTTTAGCTATTTGAAATAGTTAGTGATATCTTACAAATAAACTATTTTAAAGTTTTCAAGTTGAACAAAGAATTTTATATGTTTTTATACTTAGCCAAGAACAAACTTAAATGGGCTATATTCCAGATTAGGGATCTAGATTGGAAGGAAAACTTTGGTATGTGTATATAGCGTATATAGTGCTTATAATTATATCAAAAGTATGGAAGACTTTTTTATATTACACCTTTCAGTATAGAAAATTTCAATACAATTGGAAGAAATATATGAAAAGTATGGATTATTTTGTTTGTAGTCTTCCGCTATTTCGAGCCAACCTAAATATTAAAAAAAGTATCAACTTAAAAAAGTTAAATCTTTTACTTTATATTTAATTTATTTTTATTTAAGCAGGGATATAATAAGATATAAGGTTTTAAGTTAACCCTAAGTTATTTCTGGTTTAAGTTAATCTTTTTGCCAAAATAAAATATTTATAAAAAAAATTGAGAAATTGAAGATTACCTTTAAAGTTCTAAAAAGATTATTAATTACTGTAATTTCAAATAATATGTGATATTGATTATTACAAAGCATTTATTGTCAATTTAAACCAATTGAAGGTTCCATATATTATATGTAATATATTTTCACCGTAATACGACACCTGTAAGTTGTTACCCCCATGTGATTAATGCAAGTCATTGGCTCAACTCAAGTACCCTTAGGAAGGGTATCGGAACAACAGCGGTGGCAGCAGCTGTCATAAGATAAAAATTTGCCCGCGCCTGCACATTGCATATGCAACTGCAACTGCAACTGCAATATGCATGCATGGCAAGGATGGGGACGAGGACAAGGGGACAGGGAACAGGGGCATGCAACATATTCTAATGCGCTGCGACATCGAGTGACAGCAACGGCGACAGTTGCTGTTGCCGCATGAGAGGCGGCGACAGGCAACAGCAGCCAAGATGAAGGGAGCTGCATTTTACACGGGCATGCAAATGAACTGCAATTATTATAAACGCCGACAGTTGACCGGATGTGAGCAACTAAAGGAAAAACTGGCCCAAGACCGAGCCGAGAACAGATTGTTCAATTATCGTAATGGAGAGAGAGAGAGAGAATAACAACGAAAAGGAAACTGCATTGTTTTAAAAGCTTCAACTTAAACCACATTCAAATGTGGATGTCCTAGGCAAAGGGAAAGAAATTAAAGCGATGCTAGTAGCATAAGTTGTTGGGTGTGTATTTTCCAATTTTTTCTCTCTTGTTTCTCATATATGTAACTCTCTTTTGGAAAACTTCCCCGCACACACTTACGTACACGAAGGAAGCGCAGCTCCTTTGGCACATTACTCATACGCCCCAGTGGGCAAATTTATGAACTCGCTCGGCGCACTTGAGGCCACGACAAACAAGCTGCAAAAAAAAAGAAATAAAGAGGAAAACCTACAAGCACACACATATGACATGCATACACACACGAGCAATGGGTAAGTGCGTTTGTATGTTTATTGGCGAGTACCAGCATAAGTGGGAGGCAAGTAAAGCAGCTTGTAAAATATGCCAAGGGTTAAAAAGTGTGCAGCGTATAATTCATACACACAACAAGAAAGTCGCCTGGAAAATACGGCCAAAGGGTAAGGAGATGACTGGACTGGGGGGTGAGGGGTGGAAAACGAAGGGGATTTAACTGCAATCGAGCAACGGGTAAGAAGATGAATCCAACGACTTCAGCATCTTTTATGAATGTACATACAAATGAAGACACTGAAAATAAAATTGGTTTCATTATGGGTTTTCTACTTTTGAAAGAAAATGAGCTGCCAATGCTTTGAGCTTATTTTAATCAGGGAAAACCCTATGTAAAATCATTAATTTTTTATAATACAATGGATGGGACCTTTCTAACGCATGTATAATAATATGTTATATGTTTGTTTCTGAAAAGCATCCTGGGTGTCTATTATATATATAATATTATATAATAATTAATATCAATGATACTATGTATGTTTTTAAACACCAAGCTTGAAAATCCTGTGAATTATTTTTTATATGTGTAATTAACAATAAATGATTTCTACATACTGAAAAATAGAGTTAAAGTTCACAGAAAATTACAAAGTAATGAGATAGAACAATAAACTTATAAAACAAATATGTCTTTTTAAAAACTACAACAATGCAAGTTAAAGTTGATATTTTCGTAAAATTATTCATGTATCGATATTTTAACATTTAAAGCATTGTTTATCGATATATAAATTCTTGATGTATTACTTTTATTATATCTTATCGTATGTTATTACCGAAGTATCATATCAGATCTTTATTTGGGAGTATATCCCTTTTTACTCATAAAGTTCAAATTAATCTCTGCTATGTATATTATTCCTTAATAAACCTAAAGCTAAAATAAATGTATCCAATATAAAATGCTACATTGACTACAGTTCCAAACTCCGTTTTTATTATAATCCAAATGGTTAAATAATGCAGTGACAATGACTAAATACTGGCCAAAATCCCACAACCCAAACTAACATGAATTCAAGCACTCTGAGGACCATTTTGGGCTGCTAAAAAGGCTTTTCCGGTCACATGTCCCATATCCGTACCCACTCCATGCAATCCTTGTCCCGAGAACCGCATAAATGAACTGCTAAAATGCTAACAAAAGTCCGGAAGGGAAAGGACCTCACACCGTGAGGAAAAACGCACCCCTACTTATGTATGTGTCTGTTTTTCTGGGGGATATTCGGTTGGGTGCGGCGGACACAGAAAAGGATATGGACAGACCCGGTTCTCTATTATATATATATATATTTTTTTTTATCCCCCTTCGTGGTTTGTAATGTGTTGTGGCCACAAAATACTGTTAGCCACTTAATTTCGTGGTTGGGACACATGCCACAGTTTTTGTGCGGTTAATTGAAACTCGATTGTTTTGTGTTGAACCAGAAATGAGTCTATTAAGTCGAAAAATGAAACTAAAACAATATTGTGAAACACAAAGGAAGCCATAAAACGTTTGACTCCAACGGCCCCATTAAAGTGGCATCTAAATAAACATTTTATGGTTTTTGAAAGGCGAAACTTTCAAAAGCTTCTTAATGAACATGACAAATACTACAATCGACGGGGGCATTTTATGAGAGCATCTCCAAAAATGTTCAAAGAAGGCGTGGGGCAGCATCGGCATCGGCAGCAGCATCGACAGCTGTCAATATATGGCCGAAATATGTAAATTATCGATTGTTAATTCAAAGCGCCACGATTAGTATAATTGTGTGTTTCTCTTTTAACTCTTAAACATTTTAATGCCATAAAGCTGAAGCCAGATTTGGTTTCTTGAATAACTAACCAATTGCGTGGATTTCGTTGTGTTTTTACGATCCATTTTTTTGTTTTGTGTGTTTTTATGGATGTTGCGGCCCCAATAGAGCTATTTACCTTAAGGTTATTATCATTATTATATACCATTTCCAGGTGGGAGTTATGATTCAGGCGATGAGTGTCTTGAATATTAACTTGATGCTTCCTAAGCTGAAATGTTTAAGTCGTAAAAAGACAAAAAATATATATATTGATGATATATATAAATGTATATTAACCAAGTTAAAAATGATATTAAATAACAGAAATGTATTATGATGTTTGATATGTTCATAACTGAAATAAAATAAATATTATTTTTGATAATTTCATAAAGATTTCCTAAGTTTCCTAAGGTGAAGAACTAGCTCAAATTATTCCAGCTTTGTAGTTAAATATTTTTAACGGCAATCTATACATCGAAATAATAATAATAAAAAGTATTTAACATCTCTTTAATATTATTAAATAATAAAATATTATTATTATTAAATATTAATAAATATTAAATAATTCCTATAAATGTTAAATTTATTCTTACTTTTTCTTAAGTAAAAAAGTGAACTAAATTTTATATAATGACAAGGTTTTACATAAACCTTCAGTTCCTGAAACTAAAGCTTCCTTTTCAGCTAATATTATAAAAATATATAAAGTATTTTTAACGATTCCAAGTGTTGGAAAAAAGTTTATATTACAAACATAAAATTGACCATCCAAACTTGGGTTTTCCGCAAGACAAATTGAACTTGGAAGCTCTTTTTCCCACACAATCAAAGTGAGAAATTGGTTCGAGGTTCACGTTCAGACATTTCCGTCCGTCTTTCCGTGTCCGACCAAAGTTGGATTTCCCAGCAGCTGTTTTCTGTTTACAGTGGGGAAAACTCTGTACGAACAGAGGGAAATGTAGCGGGACCTGTCTTGGCTCTCCTCTCCAGGAAACTTGCTCTCCCAACACGACTGTGGCGACGCTCTCTGCGGCCCACTGGCTCTCTCTCTCTCTCTCTTCGGCGATGAAACTAAATCATATTCGTTCGGCGGCTGCCTTTTAACACATATCCCCCGCCCCTCGGCCACTGCCCCACACACACTAACGAGCCCCTCACGCCCACCTGCTCGTAAACAATTATGGCCGACGCCGTTGCGCGCTCTCCACATACACACAAACACACACACACACATACAAGTGTAGCAACGAATTCCCCACAAAACACTGCGAAACAACAACAACGAAATTACCCAAAATGGCTACACAGAAGCGTCGATCGTCCAATGAGCGGCGTCGGTGTGGCCAGCTTTGCCTGTGAGTTATTAATGATTTCTTGTTGGCAGGAGAATAAACAAAACAATTTATATGGTTTTCGCTTACAAATTATATATAAGAATTTACTACAATTCAATTAGTATGGCGTTTATCATTTTCCTGGGATTTAACTTTAGAGGTGGGTCAACTAGTCGTATACGTAATTTTTATTTTTAAATGGAAAAATACCAATATTTTCCTCTACAATTTTAAGATATAGCTAAGGCATAATTAAGGGACCTTTATCTAAGCTCCTATATAATGCTAAAGAAAAAATCTTATATTTTGTAAGAATTTAATTAAAGGTTGGTCCACTCGTCGTATACGTAATATTTTTCAAATTTTCCTCAAAATTTTTTAAAAGTACTAAGGAAACATTTTTATACAATTTTAAAGTTATTTATTTGTATTTTAATACTAACTAAGCATGGTTTAAAATGGTTTAAAGTAAACTTCCTCTTATTAACGCCAAAATAATATCTAAAGCTTTCTTATACTAAAAGTAAAGTCTATAGGCAGAAATTCCATCAGGTTACAAAAATTCCCAAAATCTACTACTACTACTACTGCTCCCCAACCATATCCCCATCTACTACTAATCAGTGGAGGCTACTACACTTTTCGCACGCCGCTCCCACACAAAATTCCTGCCTCAGCAGAAGGCATGCGCGCTCAGCAAAGAGCGGCATTTGCCACACTCTCCAACTGGTGAGAACTATTAAAGCTCTCCGGAGCTGCCGCTCTCGGCGTGGAGCGCATGGCTTTTTCGGGGAGTGTGTGCTCGCTCGTTCGTTCGCATGGCCTCAGACAACAACAAAAGCACACTTGTTGAAAACGAAAACGAAAACGCCACAACAAAGAGTGAACTGGTTTTTAGTAAGAGAGAGAACAACTAGCCGAGCACTACAACTTTCCGCAGAGAGCGCGAGAGTGGGCGATGCGAGAGAGCACGGGAGCACATTTCATTTTGTTTATAGATTTTTAGTCGTCGAATTTCGTTATTTTACAGTTGGTACGTGCGCTGAGCGGACGGACTGTGCGACGACCGTAGTGTTGTGCTGTGAGTGCGTAAAATCGGGCGAACGGAATTACGACGGATATAGCCATATCCAGCCGAGGTCGCATACTTTTTTTAGATCGCTTTTCGAGTGACTGACAACTAGACTGAGTTTTTAAACGCATCGCGCACATCGTTCAGGACTTTCTGGATCCCGGAACCATCTGTCGGACCGTGCTGGACGAGTACACCATGCTTATATCATAACCATATATATCATCACGTACGTGCCTCATCATAAAACGCGCCCTCGACGAGGCATCCGAGCGAAACCACAAACCAAAAACGGCCAGGCCAAAGAAATAAAATATATCCCCCCATATGTCTAACAAAGGAAATCGCTAAAATACATCTTACAAATTCGCCAAATAAATGCGAAAGAAAGTGTAAATTCTTGTAGAGTATATCGTATATTTCGTGAATTTCGTGTTTAGTGAGCAACAACAACAAATAAATATTAATGCCAGCTGGAGCAATTATAATACTTAATGAATTTATTGCACAATTAAAGCGGAGCCAACCGTACCATTAACAACAACAACAAATTAATATGCCGCTGGCGTGAAAGTCACAACTCGACGCATGATAAACCCCCATGCCCACCCACCCACTCGTTCGTTCCCCATTGAATTATTAATGAAATCAAATTGCAAATAACAATTGTGGTTGCACAAAAAAAAATTAATAAAAGCCTCGCAAATAAACATAAATTAACAAGAGCCGCGGAACGTGGACGGCTTAATCAGCGGAAAGTCGGCGGAAAATAACATATTGCAGTCAAAGCGCAGGCGCCGCTTCTCGCTTTTCACACGAGTTGGCAGCACACGCCACATCAATTGGCATTTACCGTTAAGCGCGCTGCCGTTCTCTGCGCTCTGCGGTCCAACGAACAACAGCAACAACAACAACTCAACACCTCCACCGAACAACCAAAGAAAAGCCGTCAAAGTGGATTTAACAAATTATAATAAAATGCTGCAATCCAGCAATCATCATTATTTAAGACCGGATTATATGACAGCTGCAGCTGCCCCAACAGCGGTAAGCTCATCTCTCCTTCTCATCCTGTCGATATATATGGGGATTTTGTGTGTAAAACTGGGGGATTTTAACTTAATTTGGGTTGATAAATATGTCAGTTTAGCTGGCAAAATCATTTATTAACTGTGAAGAATAGGGTTAAGGGGTGTCGAAGCTAAGATCAAAGTTTTTTTCGTTTCTACTTTCATAAATTTGCACAGGAGCTATATCTTTCTAACATATAACACCAAAAACAAAGATATTTTTATAAATTAGTAAGAAGATTTATTAACCCAATCAAAATTAACATACCAAAACTTTCTGCTTTAAATTTCAGTTTTCTAAACTTTGATATACCGATAAAATGTCCTATAAAAATATCGATAAATATCGATTAAGGAATGTGAATATTTTTATGATCGATTTCCGATTTGATCCTATATTTCAATTCAAAGAGAAAGGGTAAATAAGCTTCGGCTTCCTTAAGTTAGTTTTCCTTCTTGACATAGTTTAAAAATTGTATCAATTGTATTTTCTAGGACAGGCATAGGAATAAGCTTACCTGCAGAATAGGGACTTAGAATGGTTATTATAGTATAAAATAAATATAAATACACAATATTTAAAATAGTTTCTTTGGGTTTACTAATTAAATAACCTGCCATTGAAGCGCAACAAATTTTAAAGAAGCCTATCAAATTGATTACAGATTACGAAAATATTTCAAATATTTATCCATCATATTTACCTTTAAAATATAATTATTATGTTATACAGAATTACGACATAGTTTCGTTAGATTTATACAAAAATCGCAATAATAATCTATCGACATTTCGGACATTTGGAATGGATTGTCTAGCCATAATTCATAAATAATAAAAATGTCGACTGTAAAGCACTTCGCCACAGGCAAAGTGTGCGGAAAATCCTCAACCACTCGAAGCAACTCCCCTGAACTTTCCCAAGAGTAAGACTAAGACTATGAGCCATGTGCTGGATGCTGGCCGGAATCGGCGAACGGAACTGTTTTCCCAGCGGGAGAGGGGAGGGGAGGCAAAGGCGACTGGCAAATTCACAATCGTAGAACAATAAATTTTCCAATATCTGCACATAAAACTTATTTATGTTTGTTCATATTAAACTATGTAAATCTGTTGGCCGGGTCTGCCTCGGTCTGAAAGTGTTTAGAGAGGGAGAGAGGATCGAGTGCACCTCTGGAAATTGTATTCAAATTTATGGTGCGCCAAATTTGAATTTATAATGACAGAAAACAAATGCAATTTCGCACACTGGCACAGCCGCAGAGCGAGCTCCTCCGAGGAACTACGGCAGTTAATCAGAGTCAAAGTTGTTGTGGTCCCATTTCCTGCCCCCTCTCAGTCTCAGTGTATCCTATTCGAACTATCTCTCGAATTGCCGTGAGTGTCATAAATTTTCATTTTAATTTGTTGAGCGCATTTTGTTCATAAAGAACGGAAGCAGTTTATGGCACCGGCACGATGAGTACATTCATTAACTGGGTAATTTGAAATAGCGTTTTCGGAGCTTACGTGATTTACCGATTTAGGTGTGGACGGAGGGGACTAAGGCTCTGGCGATTTCCATATTGGTCGTGTGAAAGCTTTCAGCAGCGTCAATGAGGCAAATCCAATATATCACCGGATCGTATCTCAAAACTCGCCACATAATAAACTGGTTCCGGGGCGCTCTGACTGACAGATTCCATAAATCTTTCTTGTATGCATCTTGGGAGAGTAAAAGAAATAAAATTTGATTTGGATTTATAAGTTTCTTACAAAAGAGATTCAGATTGATATTTATTTTAGTTGATAATCTAAAGATACTTAATATAAAGCATGATTTATCTATCTTAAAAGTTACCCTAATGCTTTTCAACATTAGCAATGGTGATAACCATTCCTTAAACAGTTGAAAGATATATCTTTCATCAAACAACTTTAAATACTTAATACTCCTTGCCATACATCTCTTTATGGGACTTATAATTGACGTGGAATATGTTGAATTAATCTACCTTTGCGTGACTGACTAACCTCCTTTCTTTGTGCCCGGCACCAAGTTTATATATATGTGAGATACTATCTGTGAATGTATAAATTATTCAGTGATTAATGGCAGCTGCTTATAATTAATTATAATAAAATCAAATAAACTAAGCCTGACAGCTGTCAGTGTCATCATTTGTATATCTTTTATGTGGCGCCCAGAGAGATACAGAGAGAGATCTCCGCACCGAAATGACTGTTGATAATTCGCTGTCACATGTTGAAAAATTACAAAACTTTTGACCAGAAAAGGAAGCGGACTGCGAGATGGAAATAAGCCCGAATGGAGCTACATATCTGTTGGGCAATAACTCAAAAATCTGAACGTGAAAGTCAGCCAGCTCATGTCAGGGCTTAAAGCGAGCTCGAGACCAGTCAGTTCAACTGACAGGCCGAGCAAACGCGAGAGCAGAAAAGGTAAATAAAGTGCAAATGTCAGCTGACCGCAAACATCATTAATATAATTAAATGTGTCAGTCAAGCGGCCATTTATGCAGTCGGACATTCATTTCAGTTAACCACACGTTCCCATCAGCTTTGGCTTCAGCTTCAGTTTCAGCCACCAAATAACCCGGCAACAACTGCTCCTCTGGCAGTTAAAGTGTGCGCTTGACATAACGGCTCTGTCTCAGGCTTTTCTGCTGCTTTTCCTCGGCGATTTTCCCCCCTCTCTGCCAAGGGGGAGGCGGGTCCGGGGCCGGGGCCTTGTGTGTTTGCGTGTGGCTCTAATTAAAGTGTCATCAACAGCAGAAATACCAAATAGCAGGCAGAGCGGAGTGGAGTGGAGTTGCCCCGGCATGTTATGTTGGTGATAAATTGCCATGTCTAGAGCTGTCATGTTAATTTTTTTTGCTCGCACACAAATAATAGTTTTTGTCCAAAGTGTTAATTAATTCTTGGAACATTTTAAATATGTGAAAAGCGAGACAGGCAAACTGAGATACAAGATATGCCTACATTTAGATGAATTATTATGGCACTCTAATGGGGTTTGGTTTTGAGTAGAGAGTCAATTTACAAGTAATATATATGATACATTCTATTCCTTGCAAATAAAACGTTGAACTAAAGATAGTTGAATTAAATTAAATTCGTCATCGAAATCAGTGGAATTTCATTGATGTTGTGCGACTTGAATTATAGTGACTTATCTTGGCTTTACGGCGCGATAAGAAACCGATTAAGAACAGGCTTAAAAATAAACATTCATTGGAGCGATATCTACTGCTGGTCATTAAGAAATTTATGGCCTTTATGGTGAGATCATAAATTTAACGATCCAATTTCATTAATAAGCGACTATAAATATCAAGTAAGAAATAGAAAGAAACCCCACGACAATAAAGCTGGATCCATCCATCCGGGGAGTACAATCAAATGGCATTTATAGCTCGCACTCACAGCCAGTTAAGCCCCGTCAATCGTGGCTTTAACACCTCCGGAGCCCCTCAACAGTCCCAACTACAGTCATAACTAGACATGGCAAATCATTTTGAAAACTAAATGGTTGCGTATGTACAAATTGAATGGGTGAAACTCAATGAATTCATTTAAATGCACGCGAGGCGGCAACTATGATAATGAATTGCAATCGCCGCTCAAACCGCAAAATAATAACCCGTTTTTTTCAATCGTTTTTCTTTTTTTATTATTGTTATTAGAGTAAAGTCGCGGCATTACAAATTATGGCCCCAGATAATCGATTTGGTGGAATGGGAACAGTGGAGGGAGGGGTGGAGAGCGTGGGTTATTAAACAGTCAAAGTCAATAATCGTAAAATGTTGAACAAATTAACCTATAAATTCATATAGAAGTAATCAAATTAATGTTCCCGCTGATAACTGTCAACTGCATTATCATCATCGTCATTAACAGCATCATGAGACGTGTCGCAAACTCAATTGTTCAACTGGAACTGGTTGAACTAGTACTTAAAAATATTTTAAAAACAATTGCATAAATTAGAGGCAATTAAAAAGACATTTTGAAATATAATTTAGCCTAAAGTTGTGACTTTATTGGGTTTATTTCATTTTCCTTAAAGGTTTCTTATGAATCACTTTATACTTGTTACTTTCTAAGCTCCAATTCCATTGTCTTGACAGGTTTTGGCTTTGAATTTAATAATTGATTTAATTACCGACAAGCAAATATCGATCATATGTCGTCACCACGTGACAAACGATTTGTGTAGCTTTTTTCCAGATTTTTCCAAATTGATTTTAAAGCCTAGACGCACAAAAACCGCTTGACCATTTCGGCGGCATTGTTAAAGCCCGGTAATCCAGCGAAAGTTTAAATGGATCTCAAATGGTATCAATCATTAAGTTGGTCACCACATGGTAACATGGGGCGTATGAGTGATTGCCATAAAATTGCGTATAAATATTAATCAGCGAGCTGGCCAAAAGCCCTCACAAAAAGCCCCCCACAAAAGAGATCATTGAGCCAATGGGGCTTTTGAGAGCTCAACAAAACATTTGACACTAAATGCACACAAATTGCTTTTGAAGCCCAAACGGGAATTTCAAAAGAAGCCACAAAGCCGCATTCAAGAATAAATACTGTGTTAGGTAAAGGGGACCAATATGAAAATATAAAGAAATGGGCTACAAATGTAATATTGATAAGCCCACGAAAGCGGTCAAACTGGCGCCGGTTGACAATTTCAATCAAATCAAATCAATCCCCCGAATAGGGGGAAATATAAATAAACAATCAAACCCAATCACATCAATTATGCGCTGAGGCAACTTGTGAGCTTATCATCGGGCATTCCGTTTATTTTTGGTCAAACTTTGGGGACTCTTTATATATTTTTGTTTTTTGTGTGTTTGTTCTATCGCGATGTTAATCATTTTAATTGGCGCCACTTGAACGAGTCTCACACTCGGTGTGAGTGTCTGATTGGTGTCCATTAATTTTGTGGCAGTCATTTGAAAGCGTTTCAAA